TTTTCTGAATGTTCTGATTCTTGGAACTGTTAACATTGTTTATAGTTGAAATTATTTCTAAGCTACATAGAACAATGTTAATTTGTATATCCTTTTTAGGAGCTACCTGAAGAAATCATTGGGTCTCCCATTCCAGAGCCAAGACAACGTTCCAGGTTATTAAGATCTCAGTCAGAAAGCTCTGATGAAGTTACAGAGCTAGACCTTTCACATGGGAAAAAGGATGCTTTTGTCTTGGAGGTGATGGATGTTTTCAGTACTCCTTTTCATATTTCTCTTTTTCTGAAATATATGTGAAAATATGGAGTAAACTTTTCTCAGTTATCTCCAAAGGCAGTTGTTAAATTATATATAAATTTTTGGGTTTTGTGTCAGTGGAAAATGTTAAGTATTGGAATTCCATTGTCTCTTATTCTAGCAATATCTGGAATAAAAGCTGATAAGAAATGCCCTTCTGCGTACTTCAAGCAGGAGTCATGACTCATCCAAAATTTAGATATATTTTTATAAGCATTGAGCTTCTGTATTGTCACAATAGCAATGACTTATGTCTCATTGGAATAGGCAGAGAATGATCATGTCAGTATAATACAGACCTTATGATGAGAGCTGCAGTAGCCAAAGGTCCTCTAGCTGGAAAGACTCATAATTTGTTGTGTGGAACCTTCAGCATTTTCAGTTGCTTTTAAAATTTTCTTTTTATCATTTTTGTCTTATACCTATTGCAGTTTCTGTGAGTTCTGTGCACATTGCTTTATTTTTAATACAGTTTAATTAAGGGAACTATTTTTCAAGTGTTAAGCATATCATAGGCTGCTAGCTAAGATTTGTGGGTCTGGTTGATGGAATCCTTTTTTAAAATCTCAGCTTAATTGCCTGATAGATATCTCTTGATGACAAAGTTCTTAAATTTTTCTGAGACTTAGGAGTGGAACAGCAACATGATTTTTAGCAATTACTCTTTTTCCCAGATTGATGATACAGATGCAATGGAAGATGTACATTCTTTGCTGACAGATGCTCCACCACCTTCTGGTAAAGTTAAAACAATATTTTTCTGATTCATATTGTAGGCTGCAAAATTGTAGAATCTTAGAATGGTTTTGGTTGGAAGTGACCTTAAAAATCATCCAGTTGCCAACCCCCCTGCCACAGGCAGGAACACCTTCCACTAGAGCAGGTTGCTCAAAGCCCCAGGTTGTATGGGGCAAAATAGGTGACAAAATTTAGACTGAATGGCTAAATTGTTCAGGGTCATTGAAATTAGAAGTACAGAGAGACAAATGGTCTTTAAGTATTTGTAGCCATGTAATCTGGCAGATTGGCATTGTATTCCAAGACTGTTATTTAAGGTGAGCGATTTGCCCTTCCAGCACTCTTGTTCAACAAGTGCATTTATATTTTCCTTGCTTTGTGGTTGTGCCATACTATCACTTTAGGCATTTGGCTGTTTGCATTTTGAGTCTGTGTGTGCCTTCAGTGTTCACAGAATTTTGCATCAAGGTGTGTACTCATCCAAGAGCCAGCTTCTTACACATGGTTTCTTTCAGCCACTTTTTCCTTTCTCTAACATTCAGAAGAACAAGGAATCATTGCTGTACGTCAGTGTTCTTTGTGCTGTTTGTTGTCATATAGATATCTGTCTTACCCTCCTTGATGCAACTTCTGGCTCTGGATGTAGTTGTTCCTTATATGGAAGTTACTCAGTACATTTGGGTGTCCTTGTCGTCCCTCTCTTGTCTTTGTGAGTTTCCTTATGTTTCTTCTGAGCATGTATCAGTTCTCTTCCTAATAATCGTTACCAGTGTTTATCATTGAGTACTGCTGAGCTCAAAACTTGTCAGAGTTATCTAGTATTACCAGCAAATCTTTTATTCCTCATTGATTATGCTTTGTTAGGTCCTGCTGCAGTTGATTTTACTATCCTAAACTAAGGCCATCGGCAGTCATTTCATATTACCCTCTTTGCAGATAATATCATGAATACATTGGAAGCATACAATCCTGAGTTACAGATGTCTCCACTGTGAAAATGGAAATTATCAAATGCTTTTTGATGTCCAAAGAAGACTGTATCAGTCAGATGCCTTTTGCCTACATGGTTGTAGACAGCTTGTGAGCCGTGACTGTTATTCAGAAAAGTGGTGTCAGTTCCTTTGCAGTGTCTGTGTCGTATGCCCATGAACTCCATTTTCTGGAATATCTTGCATGGGCCAGTAATACAGATACCTGTACTAGGCAATTAGTAAGCCTGAGTCACTACAAGGACCTCACTACCGAAGATGTCGGCTTTTGATGCTCTGAAAGAAAACCTGTTAATATTTATACCTTCTGCAAGCTACTATGCAATTTCTTTTCTAGCTCATTTGGTGCATTTACGTAGGCCCTACCAGATTTTTCTCTTTTGTGGCCATTTAGCTGTATCTTTAGATTTTCAGCACTGCCTATTGGCTGCTTATGACTTTTCTTACCCTGCTGTTTGGTCATTATACTTTTTTTATTTTTTTTCTTTTCAAGTCTCTGTTTAGTAAGTGCTAGATAATTGCACTCATTCCCTAGGTAGTATCTTTAGAGCATCTCTATGCTCTCTGTCAAGAGATTAGCTTTTTAGCTTTTCTTACCACACCAAGTTTCCTCATTTGTACAGAGTTTGTCTATTAGAAACTAGGCAGAGCACTCGTGGATTTTGGATGTTCATTCTTCCTACAAGAATTCTTAAGTATGCCTTGATCAGAGCTAAAAAAACTTAATTGAATGCTGCTTCTTGCTCAGGACCAACTAGTCAGGGGTTTCTTGTTCTGTGGTTTCTACAGGAGTGGTTGTCTGAGCTTCTCGGGGAGCTTGTTTCACCAAGGTAGTCTTGGCATCAACTGGGAATTACCCAGTCTCCATGTGGAGTAACTGTCACTGTTGCATGTGATGCGATTGTAGCTTCTTTCATGTTCCTCAACATGATGACATTGGTGGCCTTGCTTTTTGGCTGTTGAAGAAATATTTAGACTAAGAATTCTGCAGTGAATTAGTGTTTCAGAACTAAAGCTCCATCGTTCTTATCCACTTTTTTATTCACTGTAGTATGAATAACAAAAAGTATGTGTTCCTTTTGTATGTGATATTGTATCCTTCAGATGTTATGTTTGTTTTTTGAATGTTGGTCTTATTTCTGGTATATTATTCAATATTGAAAAATACATGAGGGAAAATAGGTGCAAAATACCAAGTAAGATCACACATGTTTCTTTAAAAGTATTTTTGCATTTCAGTGAGGAACACAGATTTCCCCAAATATTTTCTTTACAGGTTTTTACAGTTGCAACACAGAAATTATGCCTGGTATAAATAACTGGACACCGGAAATTCAAGTAAGCTTATTAAAAGAAAATTATTTTTTTTTAATTTCAATTGTGTTGAAATATCCTGCAATACTTAAAATTTTAAATAAAAATAATATATATTAGAGACCATTAAATTTGAAAGAAATCAAAAAGATACTCGTGTGTTAGAAATAAAAGTAGTATTTTGGCAAGAAAAGTAGGATAGGAGAAACTGTTTCTTTGTGGGTTTTTTCAATGCAGTCACATTACAGAGAACCTGGTACAAAAATACAAAAATTGGAAAATATTCACAGTAAATATGAACTTTAAGGGTTTGGGCATTTTTAAGAGCTTGGCTAGATTTTGACGGCTCTTAAAAGAAGCAAATTGTTGACTGTATTACTTAGTATGAAATAATAATATGATAACATTAATAGGCTAAGAAGAATTAGATAAAACCAATCTGGTAAGTAGAGAAAAATTCTATTCATGGTTAAGTTTTAAACACAGTGGTCATGTTTGGATGACACAATTCAGTCTCAGAGAGGATGAGTTAAAACAGATCTATTTAATGAGCTTTTATGTCTGGTTGGCACAATGCAAGAATGCTTTACAGAGGCACAGCTCAAAGCTGAAAAAAATATGACTGCACCAGCAGCATACTGTTAGGTTGGTGGGGTTGCCTGTGTACCTATATATGACATTCCATTATTGCCCACATGGTTGCACACAGTTAACATCATTTTTAAGAGGAGTTAAAAAAAATAAGGAGCTGGTAGAATGACTCCTTTATGACCCAACTGAAAATTTTGAGCATAGAGTATTTCTGTCTTCCTTAATCACTTCTTTAATATATATTCATATGCATTAGTTCACAGAAAAATTTCCATATGTTTGTAGAATTTAATGAGCAATAAGCATTTCACTTGACTTACTATTTCTACAGTGTTTTTCCTTCCTTTCCATCCCTCTCCTTATCCCTCACTCTCTCCCTCACCATATTAAGCATTATTTGTCTGCTTTATGAATTTGTTTTGTTCTCAATATAACATAGAGGCACATACTGGGAAAAAACTGATGTGTTTGTTTCTAATTTAGATGTTCACAGCAGTAAGAGTATCCAGACTCAGCAATGTTAATCTAACAAATCAAGCTCTTAATAAGAACTTTAATGATCTCTGTGAGAATCTGTTGAAGGTAAGAATCTTATCTCAGATATTTGTTGAATTATTCAAATGGAAGTAAAGTAAAATCAGGCTATACTGAAAATAACATTTTCTTCATAATTACTTTTCTGAATTAGACTACAAAGTGTCTGTGATTAGCGTGTAAGTTGCTGTAAAGATAGATTTCTTGTAGTATATTGAGGATTTCCAAAGTTTTTAGTTTGAGTCTTTTGACTAGTAGCATACCGTAGAAACAGAAAGACTGTTACACAGGACATTGCATTTTACTTTGACATTTCATAGAATAGTAGAATGGTTTGGATTGGAAAGGACCTTAAAATCATCCAGTTCCAACCCCTATGCCATGGGCAGGGATGCCTCACCACAGACCATATCTCCCAAGGCTCTGTCCAACCTGGACTTGAACACTGCCAGGGATGGGGCATTTACCACTTCTTTGGGCAACCTGTTCCAGTGCCTCACCATCCTCACAGTAAACAATTTCTTCCTTATACCTAACCTGAAATTCCGCTGTTTAAGTTTAAACCCATTACCGATTGTCCTATTGCTACATTCCCTGGTAAGGAGACCCTCTCCTGTATCCTTCTGTCGTGGTTTAAACCCAGTCAGGTAATTCGTTCACTCACCCCCCCCTTCTTTCCCTCCCCCTACTCCTGGAGGGACGGAGAGGAGAATCGAAAAGAATGCAACTCCCACGGGTTGAGATAAGAACAGTTTAGTAACTAAGGTATAACAGAGATCACTACTGCTACCACCAATGATAATAATGATAAAGGAAATAACAAGGGAAGAGAATACAACACCTCAGCACCAACCGACCGATCACTCGCCCCCCAAGCCCAACCAAGCTCCGACCGATACCTCCTCCAACCCTGCAGTCCCACAGCCCTTCCAGCTCACTCCCAGTTACATCCTGGGCATGACGTGCTGTGGTATGGAATACCTCTTTGGTCAGTTTGGGTCAGGTGTCCTGTCTCTGCTTCCTCCTGGCTTCCCCTCCCCCCTGGCAGAGCATGAGGCTCACAAAGTCCTTGGCCAAACCAAAACATCCTTGTTATCAGCTCTGTTCCCGAGCTGAAAGTCAAAACACTGCACTACACTAGCTACCAAGAAGGAGAAAAAATGACTGCTACTGCTGAACCCAGGACATTATCCACCCCTTATTCTATACCATTCACGTCATGCTCAGATCCCACATTTTCAATATACCATCACTCTTATCTTAGTGCATGGACCAGTCCCTATAAAGCTGCTGAGTCCATCTGGTCCATGATGTCAGTCTCCATCTCTTGTACCAGTCAGAGCAGGAGAGAATGTGTACAGTGTTCACACTCGTGAATAATCTGGGCAATAGTGTCCATTGCTAAGTCCACCCCTCGATCATGAGTCCATCTCTATGTTGCATCTCTGCTCTGATGGCCTGAAGTGCCATGGGCCCACCAGGCTCAAAATAATTCACTGTCCCCTTCAGCAGTTTCTGCAGCTTGTTGCTGGGGACTCCATACAGCTGCCTTCCATCTCCGACGCTTCCAAAGCACTGGAGGGGCCCAGTGGACTAGATACTTGCCCATACTGTCACACACGCCCTGCCACTCATGACTGTCCAGCCTTGGGGAAAACCTCTTGGTCCCCCTATATTGTCGTCTAACCCCAGACAAGACCCAAACCTGACTCTGCTTAACTTTTGAGATCAGACAAAATGGTTGTGGGTAGAACACAGTCTGTGTGTGTGCCAACATGCTGATCCCCATCACAATCAGCAGGCAGGTCCCAAGGATACCCAAAGGCCATTCAGAGCCTTCAGAACTCTCAAACGATGCTGCTGTACTTGTCACTGGGGCTGGTGTAGCCGCTGTGCTTGCCGGCTCTCCCACCACCGGCTTCTCTTTTCCTGAGTCCAGCTCTTCCTCCTCTGCCTTGCTGGGAAATGCTGCCTGGTCTCCTGCATCCGCCTGGGGCTCGGCAGGCGGCTTCCGGGGGATGCTCTCGGCCGTCGCGGAGCTGGGCTCCTCCGCGGGGCTCGGCTCCTCCGCCGCCTTATCCCGCTGCTCGGCAGCCGCTTCCTTCTGCTCCTCGACCTCCCCGACCTCCTCCACCGGCAGCCGTCCCCTCGCGGCCTCCGGCCCCGCTCCCGCCGCCGCTCGGTCCCCGGGGCCGCTCTCCCGGGCCGGTTCGGCTGCCGCCGGCTCCCGGGGCCGCTCCCCCTCAGTTCCCCGCAGCCTCACGAAGATGGAGAGTAGGGCGAGGGCCAGGACGGTGAAGAGCAGCCGGACGGCCAGGTACAAGTCCACGGCCACGTCCGTCCCGCCCTGCTGCTGGAGCCCGCCCGTATTACAAGCCATTGCCATAAAGCACAGTGAGACAAGAACCTTAGCCCAGGCCCCACACTTGATAAACACTATCACAGCAAATACCGGCTCTACGTAAGTTACAACATTCTGAAGCTGTGAGATCAAGAGAAACAACTCTGAGAGCCAATAAATCGTCATTGTGATGAGTGACTATTAATCTGGTCAGATCTGTCGTTATCTCAACCGTTCGTGCCCCACGTTGGGCGCCAAAAAGAACTGTCGTGGTTTAAACCCAGTCAGGTAATTCGTTCACTCACCCCCCCCTTCTTTCCTTCCCCCTACTCCCGGAGGGACGGAGAGGAGAATCGAAAAGAATGCAACTCCCACGGGTTGAGATAAGAACAGTTTAGTAACTAAGGTATAACACAAATCACTACTGCTACCACCAATGATAATAATGATAAAGGAAATAACAAGGGAAGAGAATACAACACCTCAGCACCAACCAACCGATCACTCGCCCCCCAAGCCCGACCAAGCTCTGACCGATACCTCCTCCAACCCTGCAGTCCCACAGCCCTTCCGGCTCACTCCCAGTTACATCCTGGGCATGACGTGCTGTGGTATGGAATACCTCTTTGGTCAGTTTGGGTCAGGTGTCCTGTCTCTGCTTCCTCCTGGCTTCCCCTCCCCCCTGGCAGAGCATGAGGCTCACAAAGTCCTTGGCCAAACCAAAACATCCTTGTTATCAGCTCTGTTCCCGAGCTGAAAGTCAAAACACTGCACTACACTAGCTACCAAGAAGGAGAAAAAATGACTGCTACTGCTGAACCCAGGACACCTTCTAAGCCCCCATCAGATCTTAAAAGCCTGCTATGAGGTTACCACGCAGCCTTCTGTTCTCCAGGCTGAACAGCTGCTATTTTCTCGGCCTGTCTTCATGTGGGAGGTGATCAAGCCCCCGTATCCTCATGGCCCTCCTCGGGACTTTTCCATATCCCTGTTATGTTGAGGACACCAGAACTGCACACAGTACTCCAAGTGGGGTCTTACAAGAGCAGAGTAGAGGGGCAGGATCATCTCTTTCACCCCACTGGTCACGCTTCTTTTGATGCAGCTCAGGATATGGTTGGCTTTCTGGGCTGCAAGCCCACACTGCTGGGTCATGTTAAGTTTCTCTTCAACCAGCACCCCCAAGTCCTTTTTCTCAGAGCTGCTCTCAATCCAGTCTCAGCCCAGCCTGCAGCTGTGCCTGGTATTGCCCCAACACAGGTACAGGACCTTACACTTTGCTTTGTTGAACTACATGAGGTTGGCATTGGCCCATCTCTCAAGCATGTCAGAGTCCGTCTGGATGGCATCCCTTCCCTCCACCGTATCAACCAAACCACACACACCTTATTGTCATTGGCAAACTTGCTGAGGATGATCTCAATCCCACTGTCCATGTCACCAACAAAGGTGTTGAGCAGGATCAGTCTCAACACTGACCCGTGAGGGACACCATTCATTACCCATCTTCAGTTGGACATTGAGCCATTGACCTCAACACTGCTATGTCCTTATCCACTGGGTGATCTATCCATCAAATTTATGTCTCTCCCTTTTAGAGACAAGGATGTCTTGTGAGGCAGTGTTGAATGCTTTGCACAGGTCCAGTCACACTTCTAATTCTTCTTCAAGAAAAGATTAGTGTGATTACATGATTTCTACTATGAAAGAGTTTAAATTAGTTTCTGAAACAAGCCATACATTTTTTTAGAGAAACACAAGTAATGTCTTGTCTTCAACAGAGCTTGTATTTTAAACTGCGATCTATGGTTCCCTGCTGCCTTTGTCATGTGAATTTTACAGTTGCTCTACCAGAGGATGAATTAGTTCAGGTGAGTTAACTGCTTCTTTTGACTTTCAGCACATAAGCATGCCAGTTTTAGCCTTTAATGAACATTTGCTGCTCAGAGTAAGCTAAGCTAGGATTTGATTTACTCATATGCCTGATGAATTCTGAAGTAAAATTTAAAGGCATGTTAGGTGAAGAAAAAGGGACCTGTCGAGTTCACCAGTTTTGAGAATCACGGGGCTACGTGGTATTTCAGGAGCACAGTGCATCTTAAGAGTGTGTATCTTTTTAGTTGGGTAGTAAACAAAAAGACCTCACTAGATACCCATTAAAAGGTGTTATTACAGATATACAAGAATATGGCAGACTGCTTTGCTAAATATGCTTTCGTTATGGTTTGGGTTTTGGTTTTGTTTTTGGTTGGTTTTTTTTTGCTGCTTCAAGGTGATGTGATATACCATTTTTAAAGAAAATGTTTTCTTTAGAAGTACAGCATCATTCTTGTGTTCAGTTAAACATCTCTTTCTCTTTTACAAATAAAATAATGAGCTTTTATGATTCTTTTTTATGTCCCTTCACCAAGAAAGAATGAAAGAATTTATGAATCAAATCATAAATGGGGGACAAACACTGTCAGGTGTGTGTTCTAACAATGGACTTTAGTATTACCTTTTATGCTATCCTGTGAAGGGTTTTTAGTATGTCTGCTTAGATGACCTTTTTCCTCTATTATTTTTCTATGTATAAAGCTGGCTTGTTTGCAAAATTATTTTTGCAGATTGCATGAGAGGTAAAGTTACCTAACATGTCATATATTTCTGATTTTCAGATTGCAGTCACAGCTGTTGCAATTACATATGACAAAACCCAAGCATTACAAACCAACAAAGGCCCTACAGAAAAATCACAGCAAAGAGGTAAATGTTGAGGCCTGTAAAGATAAGAAATAATGTTCGTTCTTTTTTTTTCCCCCGGTACCTAATGAGTTTGCATTTTAATTTCAATTACATATACACATTTTTAGAGTGATGTACAGTAAAATCATAAAGTTGTAACACAGAGACTTTTTAGAGTTCATAAATGTGACCTCCAGTAGGATGAATGATATATGAAGTATTCCATAATTGCTTTATGTAGTTAACAAACAAATAGTAACATGAACAAAAGCTAAGTATTGCCTTATTCCATGCACCATCCTTCTTTGAATCATTTTTCTCTAAAGAATTAGTGTAACAGATGATGACATTCCCATTGTATTTTGAAACACGTGGTACAAGTCATTAGAGAATACTTGTTCTGTTAAGTAGCAAATTTTGTCCTTACTTCAGGAAGGCAGAAAATAAATTATTCATAATGCTTCAGAAAAACTCCCTAGAACCCTTAAGTAGGTCAGTAATATTTTTGGAGATCAGTGAAGCATATAGCATTATGGAGGGAGTAGAAGAGACTGCTGCAAGCTGCATATATCATCTTGCTAATGCAGCACCATCTTAAGCTAGAAATGTATGTATGCAATCTGGGTACCAGAATTTAGACAGAACTTGAAGATACTCCATTCTGAAGAATGGAATTAGGTAGTTAGAGCCATATGTTTCTAAAACATTAGTTATACCTTACTTCAATAGTAACAGTAAATTTTCTTTTATATGAAATAAATTGCTACTATCTAATATATTGTTAACTAGGCTCCAACTACAGATTCAAACCTAAAATGCATGAGTTGACATAAATTTTTTTCTGAAAAGACTAAATCAAATTCTCTTTACTACAGCATGAGTTCTGTTCAGTTTTGCAGCTGGATTTATTGTCAGACATGTAACTGTCCAGGGCTGCATCACTGTAGGCATATGTTGAGAAAATTTGTTCTGATCAGACCTTGAATAAATTGAATCCGGAGTGCTTACTATTAGTAGCAAATCTTATTTTGGGGATTAATTATCAATTGGGTATGTTTTCTTTGTTGAAGCATCTACAGACAATGAAGAACAGCTGCAGTTTCCATTGGAACTTTGCTCTGATGCCCTTGCTTCTCAACCATTCTCACCATCTAAAGGTCTGTTAAACGGCAGAGTGCTGAACTATTGTTTTCTACTGATTCTGAGTTCTGATTTTTCATTGTTGCACTAGCTTTAAAATATTTGTACTGTTACATGCTTTAAATATTCTTTATTACCTAAGAATAATAGATATGTTCATTCCTAAAGCTGAATTTTTTGTGGGTTACGTAAGATGGCTTGGAAAATCATTCTGTGTATGTTCTTTTGTAGATTACCTGTAGCTCCTCTGTCTTTGCGTTTAAAATGCATCAAAAATGCTGCAAGCCACTGGGTGTTGCACGTCATTTGACTTAAAGAGTTATAAATTATTTAATAATTAGGTTTGCTTCATACTGCTTTACTTCTGCAAATGGCCCATGTAAAAGAACTCCATGTATTGTCAGCCTCAGATAGTTAATCTCATTGTTTTCATGGTGGGAATTACCTTATCTAGCAAACACTGCTTGTTCAGCTGAGCAAAATTGCATACTTTTTTTTTCCAAAGTGAAAAGAGCCTAAACTTGCATAGTAAATAATTTGTGCAGTGCAGCTTGTTTTAGCTGTTAAAACAGTCGCTTTATTTTACCTGTGATAGAGCTGCATTTCAGGAATGGTTGTCACAGTTCTGTGATTGTATTAAAAATTAGGTGGTTATTCACTGAAATAATCTCTTTACTTCCTCTGCGTTGTTGGATTATCTGCCCACCAAAATAGCTAGTGAGAGGCAATTTAGTATCTGAGGATTACTGTAAATGTTTTTTTTAGTAAAGTATTACTGCTTCCTTTTTTGCCCTTTGCATAGGTTGCATGATGGAAAGTGCCTACCACATTTACTTGTATTTTCAAAGGCCAGTTTAATTTCAGCAATGATATTGCTTTGTATTTTTATTTATTTTTACTTTTTGCGCATTTGTGTATCATTAACTTTTAATTGGTCGCATTATGACGCTGTTAACCTTTGATTTTCTAAAAGAGGAGCTAACCAGAAATTCCTGACTGGTGTCTTTTTCACTAGACTGTGCTACTTGTGTAATGGGCACTGACCAGTAGAGGGTAGCCTCTTCACGTGTATCACTTTTCCTACTGTTCTTCACATTCCATGTTGTACTGTATGTAGCTTTAGAGGCTTTCAACTAGATAATTATTTATTGTATTTATTATCTGTCATTTCCTCACAAGTGGACTCTATGTTTAATTGTATTTACCCAGTGGCTTATTTAATATGTTGATAACTTGTTCACATAATTACCTTGAGATTGTTATTTTAAAAATGTTTGTATACAACCTTATAGAGTAAGGACCTTTAATAAATGATCATATGGGAAGGCAGATTTAGCAAAATTAGTTATTTATACTGATTTATTAGATGTTATCAAAGTTCATCCTATACTATATATAAAAGAAGTTTTTCCTCATATTTTGCTCTAAAAATTTATTTTTATAAGAACAAAGCTGTTGTCCTGTACTACATGACTCTGCTCATATATTGCCTGAATAGGATTAATTTTGTCTTATTAGAAGTCCTGGAGGGTGCAAGTTCTCACACAGGTATTCCTGCGGCTCAGAGAGGTGAGTTTACTTAATTTAGCCCTACGCCAGAACAGAATGAGCATTCTTGGGATATTGGTACACTCTTTTTGGATGTGTCTTAATCCAGGAAGTGTTTACTAGTTAACTGAGAATGCATGCTCTGGTGTGGCTTAATGATACAATAATATTTTGATGTGTTTTTTAATTACAAAAGTCAGATTTGTTAATAAGTGTTTCTCTGTCAGATACATTGATATCACTTTATCTGACAGAAAGTCCCTGAGAGAGAGAGCTTTTTTGCTTGTGTTAATTTGAAGTTAGCATGTGTTCCTACTGTTTCTTCAGGATAATGAAGAAACTGTGTTTACAAAAGCTTTTTTTTTTTTCTTTTTTTTTTAAGATATGCAAACACCTTTGCAACTAATAACAAAAGTCATAGCAGAAACAACTCTACTTCTCATTGTAATGGTAGGGGAGGGGAGAGGGTATTTTGAGAGGGAATGGTGGGGAAACGAGGACAGCATTTTGTAAGGAAAATTCATTTGTATTTAAAACCGAGGTGTTGTTTCAGCTTGTGACTCTTACCCTCATCACCAAAGGTTTTTCTTCAGTCTTTAGGTTAGATATTGATAAAGATAGTTAGGAAGTTTAAATCATGATCAGCAGCTCTTTGTCTTGAGGAAAAGAATAGCATTGAAAACTAAAATTAAACAAGGCTCAAATAAACTTTAAAAAGCCAAACTTAATACCTAATATGAGATTAAAATAAAAATCTAGTATTAGTCGTTAATGACTGTATTTGCATGTTTTTTCAGTGATGAAGTCCCAGTCAGGCAGTTGGTTCACAGCTGGGACATCACCAGAAATCGGTACATTGGTTTGGACAAATCAAACCTATACAGTAACTTTTCCTTCAAACAGACCTGGAAAGGGATGTTTGTTCTCTCTCAGACACAGATAATTGCTTCCTCAAAAGGAGCATT